CCCCTTAAAACGAACCAATTGAGTAAAAGTGACTTAAACGCTATGTGTGCCGCAACAATAATAATTACCAATTAAATACCCAAGCCCACCTATGCAATATATACACTACACATGTACATTAACAATATATACACTACACATGTACATTAACAATATGTACACTATCTACAAATGCTCATTAACAATGGGGAAAAGGGTGTAAGTACAGAACAACAACACGAGAAAAAAATGCAGTTGACCGTGTAACAACACTCGCAAGCACAATAAAGGCTAGGTTTAGCCAATAGCCGATATGGCCTACCGAGTGCGACAACCAATTCACGGTGTGGGAGTGTGTGTGAATGGGTATCATGATAACCGAAGAGTTTTGATCGAGTTCTTGTGGCCGGGCCTCCAGAGGACGTGGGCTCGCTCTCCCTGGAGGTCCCGGGGGGAATATGCAAATATCCCGTCGAACCCGGCTCCTCGCGAAGAGCAGTAGGCCGGGTTGACAAGTTCTCCTCTCCCGAATCCAGTAGAGACGGCGCAGGCGGCGGCTCGGAGGGCATCAGGCATGCGGCACCTGAGGACGGGATCACACGACTCCGCTGAGGACCAACCTCAGTGGGCACATACCTCAGCTCGCCGGGCACATCTGACACTCGTCCCCTGCAGTGTAGAGATGGAATGAACTCGTGCGGAGTGATGAAAGGCTTGAGGCATGAGGGATGTACAAAACAACTCCGCTGCCCCAAGCGGATCTGGACACACTGTGGTCGAACGACCCGAATCACATCAACCGGCCCTCTCCAGGGTTTGAACAATTGGGGCGACGTATCCACCGGTACCTGCGGACAGTGCAACAAGGCTATGTCTCCAGGTGCCCACTCATGTGCAGAAGCACGGAAACCCCTCAGCCGCTCATTGGCCAATTGGCGTGAACTGGGAAGCTTCCAAGGTAAATACCTTGGAAGCTTCCCACGCTTCGGAAAGCTTTTGAAGGGTGAAGCACAAGGAGTCAGAAATTGTAGATGTCGCCTTGTTGAGCACGGCTTGTAACTGAACATCAATCGGGGGGTAGTGTTTTCTTCCGTACATAATAAAAAACGGTGAGTAGCCGGTGGATGCATGAGGAGCCATCCTATATGCAGATAGGACTCCGGGAATATGCAAATCCCAGTCAAGTTGGGACTCGCTGACCTGATGGCTCAACATGGAGGTTAGAGTCCTGTGCGGCCGCTCAACCATGCCATCCGTCTGCGGGTGGTACGGTGACGTGCGTACTTTCTTTGTTCCCAACAAACCGCACACCTCTCGCAATAATTTAGAATATTTTTTTTTGCCCTGATCGGTCAGAAGACGTTCAGGAGCACCCGTTTCCATTACATAGCCATTGAGGAATGCCTCAGTGATCGTCGCTGCCGACTGGTTAGGGAGTGGCCAGGCCACAGGCCATCATGAAAAATAGTCGACTCCCACTAGCAAGTACTTATTCCCACGATGGGTAGTGGGAAACGGACCAAGTATGTCCAGAGCAACTAGTTCAATTATCGATTGTAATGGTGGACAACAAGGTTTCGCCGGCGGCTTCCGCCGCGCGCACTGCACAGACCACTTAAACAAATTAGCGACATCCTCAGCCATGCCAGGCCAGAAGAAGTCCAACTTAAGTGTGGCCAACGTCTTATGCACACCCAGGTGCAACAGGCGCTTGTGTACTGCCCAAATGACCTGTCTCCGCAGGGCAGTGGGCACAACAATGTTATAACAGCGCAACCCTCCGTCCCAATGCATGAGCAGTCCGCCTCTAAGAATGACAGAGGCGACACCCTGTCGATCCTCGCCCCCATCAGTCTTTCTGACACGGTGTCGCAATTTAAGCAGGGAAGCGTCCTCAACCTGGAGGCGTCCCCATTCTTCGTGGTCCCACCCAATGACGGTGTCACGCGCCACTGGACCCTCGGCCACCTCAGATGCTACAACCTCGGCCAACGCCGCAAGGGGCGAGGGCTCGTTGGGCGGCTTACAGCGCCCAGAGCCCGAAAAGCACGCGCACCCGCCACTCATTGGGAATCGCGACAGGGCGTCAGCGTTCGTGTGATGGGAGCCTTTGCGATAGGTAACCTTAAAGGAGTAGTCCATGAGGACCTCCAACCAGTGTGAAAGTTGTCCAGACGGCTGATCAACACGCAGTGCGTCCTGTAGCGCTGCGTAGTCAGAGCGTACCTCAAAGTGTCTACTATATACATAGGGGCGATACTGTTGCACGAAAACCAAAATAGCTAACAGTTCCTGGCGTGTGACACAATACCGTTGTTTGGCCGGAGACATCACTCTGCTTCCGTACACGACAACACTTTCGATGCCATTGGCAACTTGGGACAGGACAGCTCCAATTCCGGTGTTATTAGCGTCTGTTTCAAGGACGAACGGCAAGAAAAAGTTGAGGTAGCAGAAGGGAGGGGCGTTCACCAAGCACAAATGGAATTTATGACCCTTTGCCGTCAAGGCGTGGAGAGGTTCAGCGATGGTGGTGAACCTGGCGACAAAATGGCTGTAATAGGATGCGAATCCTATGAAACTACGCACCTCCCCCAGCGACGTGGGGGTCGGCCAAGTTCGAAAACACGCGGTTTGGTCTGGGTCAGTCGCAGTACCTGATTCACTTACTATGTGGCCAAGATATCGAACCGATTTCTGGAGGAATTGACACTTCTGTGGTTTAAATTTCAGGTTGGCCGCACACATTTTGAGAAAGACAGCACGTAGCCATTCCAGGTGTTCGTCAAACGTACGGCTGAAAACGATTACATTGTTGAGATATTTCAAGCATGAGTCCCACTGGAGATCAGCCAGAATCAGTTCCATTAATCGCTGGAACATAGCGGGTGCGGAATGAAGACCCATCGGAAGCCGATTGAATTCGAACAAGCCTTGTGGTGTACGAAAATCTGTTTTGGGCGTATGGCTTCGTCTAGCGTCAACTGCCAGAACCCGGATAGGAGATCAAGAGTGGAAAAGAACCGTGCTCCTGCTAGAACATCCAGTGAGTCATCCATTTGCGAGGTAGAGGGTACGCATCAGCGACAGAGACCTTATTAAGCTTACGGAAGTCAACACAAAAGCACAAGCTACCATCGTGCTTTTTAACAAGTACATTTGGGGCTCCCCATGGGCTGGTGGGCGGTGAAATAATGTCCGAGGCTAACATTTCGTCAACCGCCAGCCGAACGTGTTCTTTTTCCATAGGGCTCAGCCGGTAGGGATTCTGCCGGATGGGAGCGGCATCACCCGTATCAATGTGATGACTCAAAAGCATAGTGCGGCAGATATCAAATATCCCTTTGCTATAAACATCCGGCTGGTACTACACCCACATGTACGTGATGTCCGCGATGTAAGTACATCGCACGCCGTGCCTCTCTAGATCCGGCACCACACGGTGACATCCGTGATGTCACTACAATATGAACGTGTTTAAGCAAACAGATAGTCCACCGCCAGATTATCTAACTCATTTGAAGGCCAATGTAGACAAATTATAATTATCGAAGCTTCACCCCCCCCCCCCTGTTTCCTATGCATACGTGTATTGTCAGTAGACCCCCCATACGCAAGCGTACGCATTTGGGTTAAGCCCCCCCCCTCCATGCGTACGTACTAAATGGATGGCCCCTGTCCTCTCTCTCTTGTAGTGCCAATCTGCTCAAGTAGTGGCATCATCTTTCTGGCACCAATCTCTTTATGTCGTCGTCAAGCTGTTCTCTGTCAGGTCTTCCTCTCTTTCTGGTTCCTTCCATTTTTCCCTACCACACACTTTTTATAATCCTGTTGTTGTCCATACTACATAGTGCCAGTTTCCTTCTAATCGCTGCCGTCATCATCACCAGGTTGTCTTCTTCTGTGTGCAACCTTTTTCTTACTTCTACGTTGGTCATTCTTTGGGTCCATCTCCAATAGTTATTGTAGTTATTGTTATGTGGCAATGGGAGCATCAGAGTGCAGCCTTGTTAACCTCGTAATGTGGCTGAGTACCACGGTGGCGAGATGTTGACTACCTTGCCTGGTATGCAGGAGGTCGTGGGTTCGATCTCGACCTTGACGCCTGCTGTCTATTTGTAGTTTGTATGTCTTTCCTTCTGGCTTTTTTCTCCACATTTAGAATCATTATCACGCGTTTAGACTATCTGGCTGCTATGAATTGGCACGCGATAAGCCACTTCATTGCGCTATTATTTGTGACCAGGTCGCTTTGAAAAAGAGCCGAACAGATCAGTGGGCCTTCACTGGTAATAAAAAAAGGTTATTTTTAGTTTAGTTATCACACAACACACGCAGGCTTGAGCGTCACCACCAACTGTCGTGAAAGTCGTGTGAGGCTGCTCTCCTCCTCCCTTACATATGACGGGCAGATCTCTGATTGGTGATTTGTCGGGTGTCCGATATTATCATTATAGAGGCGCCACGGTAGCGAGATGTTTACTACCTCACCTGGTATGCAGGATATCGTGGGTTCGATCCTGATCCTAACGCCTGATGTATATTTGGAGTTTGCATGTTCTTTCTCTCTCCCCGTGGGTGCGTGGATTTTTCTCTGGGTCCTTCAAATTTTCTCTCCACGTTTAGAATCAACACGCATTCAGAGCAGTGTTCTTCACTGCAAGGCCCGCGGGCCACTGGCGGCCCCTGGTGGCCTATAATGCGACAACACCCTCCATCATCATCGTCATCGTGCTGCTGTCAAACCCCCAATGGTTTCAAACGTGTGGCGGCCCTCACATTGATGTCTTATCGACGAAAGTGGCCACCCTCTTAAAATTCGTGAAGAGCACTGTCCTAGAGTATTTGGCTGCTATGCATTTCCACGTGATGATAACCCACTTCGTTTGGCTATCATTTATGGCCAGTTGCACTTCTGAAAAAAGAGTTACATAGCTCTGTGGGGCCTTATCTGATCAAATAAAAATTGTGTAGTTCGTTTTAGTTGCATTGTACTACAGTGCCCGTGTCCCCCTCGACAGGGCCTTCAGCTAAGGATGCCACCACCATCCACGCGCTCTCCATCCACGTCAAGTCGCAGAGGCACTGCGAGCATGAGGCGTTCGGCAAGGTGAAGCTGAGAGACGGCGTCGAGCAGACGAGGGACGTGGCCGACTTGTCCGCGATGCCGGCCGAGCTGCCCCTTGCCCTCAGCCAGACGCCGCGGGCCCACCCCGGGCGCGCCAAGCCGTACGGCCACACCGCCGGGGCGGGGGCCGCATTCCCCAAGCACAGCGGCGACAAGCGCGGACAGGGCGCGCCGCCAGAACTCCTTGGCGGCGTGAACCAGGAGGAGGAGGAGGAGATGGCGAGGAAGGGATGCGAGCTGGCCAAGGAGGAGCGCGACCCCTACGCGGTGGAGGCGGCGGCGGCCGCGTCGCTGGACGCGGACGAGGCGGAGGAGGGCGAGGCGAAGTGCGCCAAGGAGCGGGACGAGGGCCACGCGCTGTCGGCCGGCAGTGACGGCGAGGAAGGGCTCATGAAGCGCAAGCAGCGGCGCTACCGGACCACATTCACGAGCTACCAGCTCGAGGAGCTGGAGCGCGCCTTCCAGAAGACGCACTACCCCGACGTGTTCACCAGGTACGGTGGGGCTCGCCGTGCCATTGTTTGGCAGAGCACTGTCTCGCCTGGTATACAGGAGCACTTCGGTTTGATCCTGACCCAGACGCCTGCTGTATATTTGTAGTTTGCTGGTCTCTCTCTCCCCATAGTTGCATGGATTTTTCTCCGGATTCTCCGGTTTTCCCTCCACATTTAGAATCGACGTGCGTTTAGAGTATTTGGCTGCCATACATTTCCACGTGATAAGCCACTTTGTTGAGCCATCATGTATGGCCAGGTCGCTTCTGAAAAAGAGCTACACAGCTCGGTGGGCCTTACCTGGTAAAATATAAATAGTTTGTAGTTTAGATATGGTGTGGTGCCCCCCCCGCTCCCTTGCCTGGCCCCTGCTTCGTCCTTCTGGCCCACGTGGCTTTCTGTTGACACGTGATGCGCAGCGAGCGTGCTATCACACGCTGAGTAGCAAACGAACTGAGCAAGGCAGTGGCGGTCGAGCAGTGGCGTCGAATCATCAAACTCGCCACGCCTGGTGACGGCTATTGCCTTATAGCCAGATGGCAGACGTTATAATATCGCACTCATTACACACAAAATGCTTGCTACAAATTAACCACAATAACTCGCTGATCTCGTCAAGAAGCATAAACCATCACGTGAACTCCGGTCATCCTCGCAGCAGCGGCTTTTGGCTGGCCATCGAACGAAGATGGTCACCGCATCGCGCAATTTCAGATGCGCTTCTGCGCTCTTCCGATATTAGGAAGCCACTGGAGCTATGCACTTTTAAATCATCATTTAGATTTCTTGAGAACTGATTTTTGTGCTTAGTTTCTTGTCCTTCTCCGCACTTCTGATTAGCACGGTTGTCTACATACGGTACAAAAAATTTAAACATACAGGTACATACATCTGGTTTGCTGACGTTTTGGGCCGGGGCCGTCCTTAAGAGCAGAGAAGTTGCGTTGTTGTAGTATTAAACGTGAGTGTTATTGTTGACGACGATACGGTAGTTTGTACGCACAGCGTTGTGGAAGCAAATTCGCGTAGGTTTTCTGTTTAATCAATGAATGTTGATTTTGTTACATGTGTAGTGAGTCCAACTGAATCGCAGAAGTTTCTCTTTAGAGGCAACACATTTATTGTAACATCAAGATGTTAACACAAAGGGGTAACTGCCCCTTTACCAGATACAGCCTAGGGTGGTGACCACCCAGCTAACTACCCTATACGTAGGAGTTACAGCTACGAAGGGTCAGACCCTCACTCGGGTCCCCGACCACGTGTTGATGCCTCGTAGGAAATAGAACTTCCAGCTTGTAGAATGCAGCGACCCCGGTCCCTCTCAGGGACCCACCTTATATCCTCCCGGGTCAGGGCCGCTCCACTCTCGGCCCCGCCCACCTTCTCGAGCATTCTAGCTCCCTCTTGATCCCCCTCGAGAGCTCCCCTGGAAACGTGATCACCTTCTAGCCCCCCCACCTGGGGCCTTCTCTGTGGACACTCCAGATCACGTGTCTACGGGGTCAATCAGAGTGCCATGGCCCAGGGCAACCCTGCCCCTGGGCCGACACTATCCCACTCCCCTTGTGGGAGCCCGCACTATGTGTGGTGCCCGTGCTATCCCAGCGCTCACCAAGCCCCGCTAGGGCTGGTACTACACCCTCCTACGGGGTGTACGCGATGACGGTGCATCGCACGCCGTGCTGTGTTAGAGCCGGCCTCACATAGCAACTCACTCAGTGCTGTCTGTGATGTAGGAACAATGCACGCCACGGCCCTAACGGGCCGGCACCATACAGTGACATCCCTGATGTCACTACAACACCCCCCCCCCCCTTCGTAGCATTCAGCCGTCCCGGCTGCAACTCCCCACTCCAAACACATTTTTTTTTATGCAAGAAAAACATAGTGTGCCTCAACAATAAAAGAACAAAAATATATACCCCAACTGACAGCGTGGGAGCGTGTGTACAAGGGGATCACGAAAACGAGTTTTTGAGCGAGTGCATGATGCCGGGCCCCCATGGGAGGTGGGCTCGCTCACCGTAGAGGTCCCGGGGGGAATTATTTAATTATACACAGTGTTCTGTTCCCACGCATGGTGGTAGCAGCAATACTTTCAGAAGCTTGATGCCAATATCGAGGTCTGCTGCTCAACTCCATAGTGGGTTTGCTATATGGTCCACTAGCGGGAAGTACCCGGCGTTGCCCGACCCACACACACAAACACATCGACCCACACACAACAACAACAACAACCGCCATTCGCCACTAAGTGGCGGTGACGTCACCACGACGCTTGTGCCAAGCCATGTGCACCTTGAGGCCACGTGAAGTGTCGAACGCCCGCTGGCAAGAGGTCACGGGGCAGACCCAGCAGGTGCCACGGGTTGACTGACTGAGATGACCGAGATGATTGGCTGATGCACCACCTGTGCCCCCTACTGTGCCAACTTGCTGTGCTTTAGCCACCCGGCGCTCCGTTCGTTGTTGTGAGCGTCGCTCCTCCGCCCTCCGTTGTTGTTGGAGGGCTACTGCCTCCAACTGTCCAGTAGCGTCCTTCATGAGCCTCCTCCACAGAGGCCGATCTTGACACCGCTGGTACCGGTCATCGGCAAGTCCACTCAGCTCCACGTCCTCCTGTACCACATCACTCCACACACACACATCAACTGACACACACACATGGACTTAAACACACACCGCACACATACACATGGACGTACACAAAACAGCGACTGTCACACACACACATTGACTCATACACACATTGAGGCACACACGAAAACTTTTATATAGACTAAATAAATTTGTAAATAATAGTTTTCTATGTACGTGACTTTAGCGAAGTAAGGGAGAGGGGAAATGCACGCGTGTATAATAAGTAAGTAATTAGGAGCGACCACGAGGGTGTTCCGCCATTTTGGTGCAAACATTTTCCGCGAGCAAGATCGGCAAATAAATGAAAGTCAACGATTACAAAATGAACCTAACCTACCTGTAACTATGCGTAGATGGGCACCAATCAAGCGTCATTGACATAACGTCAATGCTCAACCCCCGTACTGAGGGGGCAGGTGTAAATATGATAGAATGAAGACGTAATAGCAGAGTATATTTATTGGTTTGCCCCTGTGCAGCAAGTGATATTACGTGGCTGGTTATGCCTCAAGAGTAGAGAAAAAGGCTATTCTTCCTCTCAAATCTTGTTTTTGTGAGCAGGACAGTGATATTTATAAATGTACCTATTTTCAAAGAGAACACGTGTGCATAAGTGTGATGGCCTCACATAAAGACGTGGCCGCTAAAGCAAAGATAGTGGTAGTCGGGGAGAAAAAGCGTGCTACTTAGGGTAAAAAATTGCTCAATTCCTGTCATTAAACGAAACCTATGAAAGGAAATTTGTAATGAGTACACAGTCCTGGTAATACAAGTCTGGAGGGAGCTGTACATCTGTGTGTGTTACCTTGCGCAGTGTCCACACGAAAGAGAATTCCCCCCTCCCTCCCCACCGAACGCGTGTCAGTTGGGAGGGTCGAGCACTTGCTAGCTAATAAATAAATAACTAGAAACAGCATCAAATCGCTAATTAAACTACTTTAAAGGTGACGGATGCGAAATCGGAATAGCGCTGGCTCAGCACGGGGCTTATGGCGTGGTACCTGGATACTTTTTTAAAACGTGAACCCCACGGTTTGCAAGCCAAATCCTTCGCAAGTTCCGGCCACACACAGACACACAGACAGACAGACAAAACATGCCTTTTATAGGTAAGGGGCCGTCCATAAATGACGTCACGTACCTGGGGGGGGGGGGGGGGGTCAGACATTTGTGACGATGTGATGACGAACGGGGGGGGGGGGTGAGAAATGTGACGTCACATCAAAATGCGCAACTTTAAATAAACATAGACAATACGTTCTACTTAATTAAATATACTTCTTAATAAATGTTTTCTCCTGCAACATCAGAGTGCAGCGGCACCTTAAATACGCACTACAATGACAATAGTTTAAAGCGGTTTGAAGCATGTTTTATATTTTTTTGGGGGGGGGAGGAAGCTTTGTGACGTCATATTCGAGGGGGGGGGTCTGACTTTTTACGACGCCGTGTGACGAGGAGGGGGGGGGGGGTCAAAATCGTCCAAAATCGCGTGACGTCATTTATGGACGGCCCCTTAGCCGAGTGGCTTCACAACTCGATGCAAAACAAATGACACGCGCCGAGTGATCCGGGAGGAGTGGGGGGGTGGTGGGGGGGGGGGGCAAGGGGGTAGGGGGGGGGGGCTCCTCCGTGCATCTGGGGCTGCTACTCGCCGCGCCTCGTGTCTGCCCCCGCCCCATGGAGGAGACGTCTCCCGCGCTGTCATCAATGCATCCGGAGTGCATTGACGAGAGCGCAGCTCTAGGGCCAGGCAGCACGTGAGGCTCGCTGCTTCACGTGCAGAGTTTCAGGCGGGTCGGTCTCGAACTCTGGCACGGCACCACACGCATTCCATGCCGCACTCTGTGATCCCTCACCTATACTGTACATACTGTACATACCGCGTCTATACGGTAATAGCCCCGTGTGTTTATCGGCACTCTAAATGTATTGCTACAGAAGAATATTGCTGCTGCTGCTGCTTCATCTAAGCTGGACTACAAAGATTGACCAACGTAGAAGTGAGACAAATTTCGATTTAAAGCTTTCTTGACTGCAGGGATTCATCTTCTTGGTTCTTTCGGTAAAGTCACGTAGAAGGGAAATAATAAAAATAATAAAAATAAAACATAATAGAAGAATATAATAATATAATAGAAGGGAAAGTTTGCAGGTAGAAGAAGGCAAACTGGTGATGATGCAGGCGGTGCTGAGAAGGAACCCGGCGCTATGTAGGATGGACAACAACAGGGACATTAAAAGTGTTGTTGTTCGGAGAAATGGAAGGAATCAAAAGAGAGGAAGACCTCGCAGCGAACGTCTTGACGGCGACACGAAGAGATTGGTGCCAGAAAGATGTGGCCACTACTTGAGCAGATTGACGCTACAAAACAGAGAAGAAAAGTGGAAACATGACTAAATGTGCAGTGGACACATCAGGGCTACCTGCCCATGGATCGTGATGATGACAATGACGATTATAACAATCATTCATGTGTTGGTGATGTTGCTGCGTGGGCAGCTGGTGACCAAGCGCGATTAACCAAACAAAAAAGGACTTGGTGAAAACCGCTGTGGCTTTAAAATGAATACAATGTTACGCGTTGACGTTTCGGGCAATGGACCGTCTTCATAGCCCGTGAGTTGACACGCATGATCGCACGGTGAGTTATAGAGAGTATTACGTCGGGGATGCGTTCTTGAAATGTGCAACGGCGAATATCGACACGACGCAAATCAAAGTGGCAGGTGGAGGTGAAGGCTGAGAGGGGACGGATTCTGGAAAGGACGGACGAGGCTGTCAGTAAGTGTGGGTTGAGGCGACGCCAATCGGGCAGTGGCGGTGTTAATAATACATTGACAACGTATTCGCCAAACGCTGTAAACGGGGCAGACGTAAACCCAGTGATACCTGTATATATATTTTTCAATATTTGTCAATAATAACCCTGTGCGTGTGTGGCCTTAGAATAAAAAAACCTCGACCTATGTAATAGGTGACGTTTTTGGCAATGGCCCTTTAGTCATAGCATGCAAATGTAGAGGCCAGAAGAGAAATCGAGTGGATGATAAGAGTTGGAGTCTACACTGGTTTACACCATCGGGTCCTGGTGGGAATTACATTTTACGCAAATTATGTAGCTGATGACCATATGCATAGTTACATGAATAGGTGTTGATTAACAAACTCTTCAACAATCAATAATTATATTTAATTTATACAACAGTCCAGAGAACAATATGAATACATCCTTTAGGATAAAAGAAAATACGGCTTATATGGACAGGCGTATGTTGTACTCCAGTGGTAGTGCCTTACGCCGATAACCGCTACTCCAAGCCAGCCTAACGGCATCCTGGTCCCTTCCACCCGAGTTAGATTTCCACTCACGCCCAATAACGGTGACTTGCGACTATTTGAATGAATACCCCCCCGGTGTGGTGGTGTGTACAAAACGCCAGCACTGGGGAGACAAAGGCGGCCGTGCGTAGTGTTTGCCACACACACACCCCGCTCGCGTGTCGTGCCAGCATTCCAGAGGTGCTCGCTTAGAGCAATACTTGCCCCAACCGTGTTGTTAAATTATCGATAACGGAGGGGTTTTTTTGGGTTAGATCGCGTAAATATGTGTCGTTAAACCAACCACCACCCGATAGTCAACTAGTAGGGATTGTCACCTAAACAGAACGTGCCAATTAGTTACTACTTCAGCGCACCGGTGTGTTGGAGAGTAAACCCACAACATTTACAATTCGAGTACTGTGACATTTCGTCCACTTACAAAACAAGCAAAGTCACTGATTATCGACAATATTGGTGGCGGAATCCGACTACGTATTAAACGGCCTTGTTAAAGGCTGCACGGGTGGGGTTGTTTATCTTTGTGAACATCTTCGTGTGGCGATACTGGGTTAGTAATGTTGTCTGTCGATGTGTCTCTGTCTGTGTTTCTAGAGAAGAGCTGGCCATGAGGCTCGACCTCACGGAAGCAAGAGTACAGGTGAGAGAGACGCGTCATCGTGTTTGAACAAATGAGACACGGGGGGGGGGGGAGTGGCTGGGGGAGGGGTCACATCCACCACGTGACACAAGCGAGTACCAGTGCTAGGCCGGTCACGTGCGTGTGTGCCAGTGCCGTTGGTGATATACAGGGTAGCCCAAAAGTCAGGGAATATCGGGTAATTATATTTATTTGAAAAAATCACGTAGGGTTATTTAAATTATTGTAATACATCACGTAGGGTTATTTCATTAGGTTTAACAAACCACAGAGGGTTATTTTATTTATTTGGACACATCACGTAGGGTTATTTTATTAGGTTTAACAAACCACAGGGGGTTATTTAATTTGTTTTAACACATCACGTAGGGTTATTTCATTAGGTTTAACAAACCACAGAGGGTTATTTAATTTGTTTTAACACATCACGTAGGGTTATTTCATTAGGTTTAACAAACCACAGAGGGTTATTTTATTTATTTGAACACATCACGTAGGGTTATTTCATTAGGTTTAACAAATCACAGAGGGTTATTTTATTTATTTGAACACATCACGTAGGGTCATTTCATTAGGTTTAACAAATCACAGAGGGTTATTTTATTCATGTTAACACATGTTCAAATTGACTTACATTTACATGAATGAATGATGCATGGATTCACTTTGTGAAATTAATTTAGGACTTTTTAAAGATTACAGCTGCCTTTAGTATACGTAAAAATAATTAAACACCTTCATCTTTAGTGATTTTTTTTCCAATTTTAATTGTCATCAGAGAAGGTTAAAATATATGAAATGCCCTTACGTGTCATTCGTTTTGGGCCACTGTATAACAAAGCTATATGTCCACACTTTTGGGCCACCCTGTATAACAACCCTGTGTGCCATGACTTTTGAGCCACCCTGTACTTATGTCACTGCCCTTCTCTTTGATGCTACACGCGGGATGGTGTCCACCCTTCTCCAAAAAAACTCTTAACAACATCACAGCCGTGCCTGCTTCATGATACGCGTTACAGGGTGCACCCGTATCGTTTACAACTTTGATAATGGTGCTGGTTGTCTCTGGTCGTTTGACGTTTTGGGTTCGCTACTTAGCGATCGCGTTCAAACAACGTAAGAAATAATTTCTCTCTGAATAGGGTACTCTGTCAATCAAGGGATTAATGCGTACACACCTGTTGTATTACACACGTGTTGTTGTTGTGTGTGTGTATATATCTTACCAGAGATGTTTATCGGCAGCGATAATGATTATCACGCTGCGCTACGAACCTGGCGGCACGAGTTCGATTCTCGCTCATTCTTAACACCGGTGACGATTATCTGAACCAGTCCTGGGCCTCTTCTAGGTCGATTCAGTCTCAAATGAGTATCTGGACGTGGTCCTGTCCACCCACCCTCTCGTGTGCCGTGCCGGCCTTCATAGGTGCTTGCTAACAGCACTTGCCCCAACAGTCTATTAAAGGCTATACGGGGAGCTTTATCGTTGTTTATACATAGATACAATATTCACATGCAAGTAGTGCTGTATATATTCTGTTCAACAAATGCTGCTGGACGATGTACGGGTCTGGAAGAGCAATAGGCTGATGGACTGAACCATATTTGTGTATTCAGCTTCTGTGAGCAGTTAGGGTCATTGAATAATTTAGCCTTCAATTTAAATCTTTTATCAGTGCACCTGTTGACTCCGAGTGAAATGTCATATTCCGGGGGTACAGCGTCACATTCAATTGAAGTCCTGAGTGCGATCACTGATGCCAACATTACTTATAAGTCGCGAGTGCCTTGTATACACGCTGTACGATCATTAATGCAAACCACGGTGACGAGATGTTAACTACCTCGCCTGGTCTACAGGAGGTCGTGGGTTCGATCCCGACCCTGACGCCTGCTGTATATTTGGAGTTTGCGTGTCTCGCTCCCCTTAGTGAGATGTTAACTACCTCGCCTGGTATGCAGGAGGTCGTGGGTTCGATCCCGATCTTGACGCCTGCTGTATATTTGGAGTTTGCGTGTCTCTCCCCGTGGTGAGATGTTAACTACCTCGCCTGGTCTACAGAAGGTCTTGGGTTCGATCTCGACCCTGACGCCTGCTGTATATTTGGAGTTTGCGTGTCTCGCTCCCCGTAGTGAGATGTTAACTACCTCGCCTGGTATACAGGAGGTCGTGGGTTCGATCTTGACCCTGACGCCTGCTGTATATTTGGAATTTGCGTGTCTCTCTCCCCGTGGTGAGATGTTAACTACCTCGCCTGGTCTACAGAAGGTCTTGGGTTCGATCTCGACCCTGACGCCTGCTGTATATTTGGAGTTTGCGTGTCTCGCTCCCCGTAGTGAGATGTTAACTACCTCGCCTGGTATACAGGAGGTCGTGGGTTCGATCCCGACCTTGACGCCTGCTGTATATTTGGAGTTTGCGTGTCTCTCCCCGTGGTGAGATGTTAACTACCTCGCCTGGTCTACAGAAGGTCTTGGGTTCGATCTCGACCCTGACGCCTGCTGTATATTTGGAGTTTGCGTGTCTCGCTCCCCGTAGTGAGATGTTAACTACCTCGCCTGGTATACAGGAGGTCGTGGGTTCGATCTTGACCCTGACGCCTGCTGTATATTTGGAATTTGAGTGTCTCTCTCCCCGTGGTGAGATGTTAACTACCTCGTCTGGTCTACAGGAGGTCGTGGGTTCGATCTCGACCCTGACGCCTGCTGTATATTTGGAGTTTGCGTGTTTCTCTCCCCGTGGTCGCGTGGATTTATCTCCGGGGTTTCCCTCTACATTTGGAAAGATGCTTTTAGAGTATTTGGCTTCTATAAATGTCCACATTATAAGCCACTTCGTTGAGTTATCATTTGTGGCCAGGTCGCTTCTGAGAAAGAGCTACATAGCTCAGTGGGCCTTACCTGGTCAAGTAGAAGATAGTTTAGTTTTAACTCAGGCACGCGTAGTAACCGATGGCAGCGTAAGACACACACACAGACTGCACCCAGCAGCACCCAGTCGGGTTGCAATGAGAAGTAAGAGGAGGAATCACTCGGCACGCTCGGCGTGTGTCCATGTGGTGTCGGCTACCTTCTTCCCTTTCTAGCGTTTCCACAACAACACGAGAACCCCACACACCCGAATTGTGCTGCAATCATTCGCGCAGTGTGCTGTGATTGACGCGTAGAGTTTGCGTAAAAAGCGTATTCCCGATGTTCAATTCGTCTTCTTTTGTATGGCTGCAAATGTCGATGCATAGCAACGACTACAATGTCACATTCAGCTGGTCAAGCCAGACAACCGCGTCAGGAGGAGCGGAGTGTATCATCATCGCTGTGATGTCTCCTTCGTGTTTATGGATCGGGCATTGCGTCGTTATACGTCGTACGGTCCGTTCTGGATGATCACAGTCGCACATTGGAGAGTTTTTTTAAAAGTGTCTTTCCGTCCACATCTGCTGCCATAGTTTGTGCAAATGCAGATTAGGGTGGACCATGAGCTTCGTGGAAGATCAAACCTATGGATCTTCCGAGTTGGGTCTTTCACAAGCAGTGATTGTTTGTGAGTTCGTTTGACCTCCGTACAGCTCTGCAAGCTTCATGTGGGGTTGAGTTCGCATTGTTGAAGGTATTTACTGCGATTGAATGGAGTCCACTGCGTGTGGTTTAACATACACTTGATACAGCACATTTATCTGTGACGGTCCCACCTGATGACGGAGACTTGTGTTGTCTTCGAAACGTCGTGATTATTATTATTTTATTTTTTATTAATTTTAATTTCATTTTTTTACCTACATAACTTTACCGAAAAAAATAGGAGTATGAATCCTTGCAGTCACGAAAGCTTCAAATCTAGAATAAATACACACGGTGAATGCATGTGCCGCTGTGCTGCTCAGTGAAGTACACACACAGCAAGTGCACGTGCCGCTGTGTCAGAGTCGAGGTTCTGGTCTCTCCGTGTTGAGAGTCGTGATTTTGCTGCCTGTGAGTTCAGAAGTCGAGGTTGTGGTCCATGGCGAGGTGCGAGTCGAGGTTTCAGTTCAGCACCACGGACAGCGCGCAACTCACGTTGGTGGAAAGTAGCGGGGAGCAGCGGGGGAGCAGAGGGGAGCTGCCGGGTTAGTGACCTCTAAGTGACCTCTAACCCGGCAGACAGCGAGTCGCACGCGCCGGCGGTCTGCCTGGCTACAGCCGGAACATTCACACAGCCCGCAAAATTCGTTCAGGCAGTCTCCACAAAATGCTCGTCGTATTGTTAACTTGTAGCGCGGCGTACGCCGCCACCAACACACAGTAGTCACTCGCTGTCTGTAGAGAGAGAGACAGAGAGAGAGGACGACTCAGAGGCGCGAGGAGGAACCAGAGATGAGCGAAAATGCGGCGGCGGTAGCAGCAGCAGCCCACGCGATAAGCCAAGCACCAACAATTGTGCCTCCAGCACCGCGGTCCTCTATATATATGAATTGTTATTGGACAGTCTAATGAGTGTTCATACACGTTGGAGGAAACCCGAACACTCGGAAGAAAACCCACGCGTGCGAGGGAAACACACTCGATTCCCTACAGACGGAACAGGTGGAGTCCCACATGTTTGCTGTGCCACCTTCACCTGGCACAGCCAGGGAATGGCTCCTCCTCAACGCCCACGGGGAAGGGAGTTTCACAACAACATCTGTGCGGTGATCCACCGACCCTCGAAACTGCCTCCACAGCATGTACGTATGTTGAACTTCTTTCGCACCGTACGTAGCCAACCGTGCTAATCTCAGGTGCGGGGTGCTGGGTTACAGTCCACGCCACGTGTGGCGTAGCTAAGTGTTCAGGCAGCGAGGTGTTAACTACCTCGCCTGGTATACAGGTCGTGGGTTCGATCTCGACCCTGACGCCAATTTTGTGGAGTTTGCATATCTCTCTCTCCCTGGTCGCGTGGATTTTTCTCCGGGTCCTCCGGATTTTCACTTCACAACTATAAACACGTGTTTAGAGTATTTGGCTGCTATCAATTTCGA